TTATGTTAAAAACACAACTCGATATTCTTTACATACTTGTAACCAAAACTCATGTGCAATAATTAATGTAAAAAAAAGTTTAAGTAATTTAAGAATAGTTACAAAATGTAAAGATAAAAAATGAATTTATAAAATCGCTCAAATCATTTACATTTTTATAGTGATAAAGCAAATTTTGGCTCTTGTTTTGTGCCTTCGATAAAACTTTTACCCTTATTCGTTACAAATTTAATTATTCAAAAAAAAAAAAAACAAATTTATTTATCATAAATTTAATTATAAAATACGCCAAAACAAAGAAAAAGAAAAAATGCTTTTTCACTATTTATAATTTGATTGGCTATTATTTTTGTTAAAATTATTATTTATTTACAATATTAAGGATCTCTTTTTATTTTATATAATTTTTTTACTGATGCTAAACTTAATCCTACACCTGAGTATATTCTCTTAAAATATTTAATTTAAGTAAATTTTTTACTTATAGTGCAATAACAAAAACAAAAATTATTTAAATTGTTTTATTTAAGCAGTGGTTTCAAATTTTGACAAGGTTTTTATTATTATTATTATTAATGTTAGCATCTAGTTTAATTTATTTATGTATAAATCTGTCTGATTTTACTATTCAGTATTAATTTATTGGTTCCTATTAATAAAACATGCTGCTCACACATATTAACATTACAGTGATTGTAATAAATATATAACAAGTGCACCATCACATATATTTTCTAGTCTTTTACAAAATTTTTTTTTTACATGGTTATATTTTATTTAAATGTTAAAAAAAAAAAATTTCCCCCATTAATTTTCATTAATATTTTAAATGACAAACAGAAAATAGTACAATTAAATTCTTTGTTATAACAAATATTTTTTGTTCTACTTTATTATTATTATTATTAATAAATTAAGAAATAAATGTTAATAAAAAAAATTTTTATTTTGTTTGTTTTTAACCGTTTAATTTCTTACTTTCTTTGTTCTTTTTTTTTTTAAACATTTTATCTTTGAAACATTAAAAGTTCCTTTTTTTAAAAATATTATTGTAAAAATATTAATAATAATAATTATTTCAATTTTTTTTTAGAAAATAAAAAGTAATTTAAAATTTTAATAAATTTTATTGCCCTGAATTATATAGCATTTATCGATGTTAATTTTCGAACACATAAATTAAATTTTAATTTCTCGAACCAATTACTTCACCTAATTACAACAAACAAAATTTTTTTTTTTTTAATCACTAAAACTATTAAAAATAAATGCATATACATAAATTATTTTGTAATTTTTTTAACAATTTGTTACTTTACAATAAGTATTATAATAATAATAATAATAATAATAATGATAATACAAAAATTTGTTAAGGCGCGCATGACATATACATAAATTTACCTTATCAAACAATATGTTTGATTTTTCTTCGAAAAATACATGGTTAATATATGACTAATTAAATTAATAAAAAAAAAAATATCACTGGGAAAAAAAAACATTAAACTTTGAACTTTAACCCTTGTTAAAATTTAATTCAAAATATTTTGGACGCAGTTTGTAAAAAAAAAAAATCATTTTGAAATTATTTTAAAAATTATTTAATAATAAACACAGACATGATATATATTATTTTTATCTGTAATAATTACATATTATAATATTTATTTGACACTCGGACCAAAAAAAATTTAGCAAGCAAGCAAATTTATTTATTTATCCTGTCTTGCATGAAGTGTAGTAGTTAATAAACTGGTATATATATTATAATATTTATCCTATATTAATTTTGTTGTTTTATTAAACTATCCCATTTAACATGAACTTCTGGTGTTAAATGAATTATATTAACATGAACAGCTTGAGTTTTTTCAAATTTTGGTGGAATCGGACATAATCTATATTCGACTTCATCACCAGGTAATGGCACATATTCTCCTTCGATACTTAACAACAAAAAAAAAAAAAATTATTTTTAATATAAAATAAATATTAAAGATGGAAGAATGACTTTCAATTTGGGATACTTACTCTGAGATGTGTACAAAAATATCTTCTCCAGTTCGATTTGACGTTATAAATCCATGACCTTTTTCACGACAAAACATTTTAACCGTACCTTTTTCAATAGGATTTTCAAATGCTTTAGCCGATGTTGAATTTGTTCTAGTACGCCTTGTGATTATTGGACTAGGTAAGGATAAATGTTTTATATATGGTTCTGTAGGAGTGGTTATAGAATCCGAAAGGCTTGCCTTTTTATTCATGACAGATTCGGAATTTTGGATTTATTATGATAAATTATCCAAATTACTTATATGGCGTACAAAGTCTAAAAATCCTTACCGTCAAAAAAATGGTAATAAAAAAAACTGACAAAACACAAATTTATTCGTTTTAAAAATAAAAAAATAATTTTATTTAATTTTTAAAAAAAAATTTTTTAACAATTATTTTCGTATATTAATTCATCAGAAAATTAATTAACCGAACTTATTTTTTTAACAAAAAAAAAAAAAAAAAAAAAAAACAAAAATAAACCTGAGATTTTATAATATAAACCTTAAAAATTATTAAAAATTTGTGCGAAATTCAGTTGTGCCAACTCAAAAGCAAAAAAAATAATTAACGGATTAATTAATATGGAAAATTTTTTTTTTTGAATATTATTCTTACTCATTATGTACATATTTTTTTAATATTTTTTTGTAGAAAAAATTAAATAAAAATAAAATAAAATAATAATTTTATACTTTTTATTTTGATTTTCACCTCAAGTGTGTTTTTAATTTACTTTCTTTTATTTTTGTACCGAAATTTTATCTCAAGTATTATAATTTTATAATTTATCAATATAAACAATTATTATTTTCAAATATTTACTATTTATTTATTTATTTTTTATTTTTTAAACCCTAAAAAAATGAATAATAATTTTACAAAGTTTAATTTATATTATAAAGTTTATGTAAAAGTTAAAATTTATACAAAATATTTTTATGTTGAAAACTTTGATTACATTAAATAATTTTTTTTTTAGGTTATGATTTATTTAATAACTTTATTAATTTGAAATAAAACAATATAAAAGATTTCAGTTTTTGCCTCTTAGTCTTAATTACAACAAAAAGAACTTAAATTTAACTTTAATAAATAGTTTAAACATGGAGTCAACGGTTAATTGATGATGTTTTATTTTATTGTCGATAAAATCAGTATTGGTAATATTGGCACAGTTGAAAGTTCAATCAATTTGTATCAAAAACAAATTATTTAAAACTATTAAGGAGATTAATAAATAAAATGATAATAATTTTATTTTTGACATTGTTAACTTATCTTCCAGAAGTTCATTTAAAACTTTTTAATGTTTTATTTATTACTGTGGATGATCTTAGGCCAAGCATTGGAGTTTATGGTGATTTAAATGCTGTAACTCCAAATATTGATTTATTGGCTAAAGATGGAGTCATTTTTAAAAATGCTTTTGCTCAGGTATTGTCTTTATAAAGTTAATTTTGCTGCTGCTGATTATTATTATTCCTTATTTAAAAAAATGCAATAAAATTTTAGCAAGCGCTTTGTGCTCCCAGTAGGAATTCTTTTTTAACGAGTCGAAGACCTGATACATTACATTTATACGATTTTTATTCATACTGGAGAAAACTTGAAGGAAATTTTACAACATTACCGGAATATTTTAAAGAAAATCATTATTTTACAAAAAGTATTGGAAAAATATTTCATCCTGGTAATTTGCCTTCTGTGTGTGTAGTCAAATGTTATCAATAATAAAAATTTGTTTTAATGATATCACTCATTTGTTTTTTTTTTTAGGAATTTCATCCGGTTTTACCGATGATTACCCTTACAGTTGGTCAGAACCCCCATGGCATCCCCCCAGTGATATTTTTAAAGATGCTCCAGTTTGTTTGGAAGGTGATAAAAAATTTTCAAATTTATACTGTCCTGTAAAAGTTTCAGAGCAACCAATGAAAACTTTACCCGATCTTGAATCAGTGCAAGAAGCGAAAAAATTTCTCAAACACTATAAAAGTGTCAAACCATTTTTTTTAGCAGTTGGTTTTCACAAACCTCACATACCCTTTAAATTTCCAGAAAAATATGCAGGTGCGTATACCTGATTTTTTTTTTTTATTTAAGGTTTTTTAAATGAGTTTCCCAAAAAAAAAAAAAAAGAAAAATTTGTTACAGATTTACATCCGATAAAAAACATAACTTTGCCTGATTTAAAATATTATCCTCCTGGATTGCCAACCATCGCTTGGAATCCTTGGAATGACATTAGAAAAAGACACGACATTGCTCGTCTTAATGTGACGTATCCATTTGCATCTCTTTCAGGTTTTGATTAATTAATAAAAAAAAAAACTTTTTTACATTTAAACACATTGACATGAATTGAAACAAAGAAAAACTTTTTTTTTT